CTGCAAATTTCTTTGACCATATGGAGATGCCATCGACGCAACCATCTGTGCAGTTTCCATTTGACACGATGACTTCAAGCTCCAGGGGAGGCATTCGACTATGAGTTTTTCGATCTCAATGTCGATATGCCTTCTAGTTCAAGAAGAGATAATAAGTAACAAACTTAAGAAAGTTATCGAAGACAATCATTAAATTTTATCAAATTGATAACAATTTGGTATTTCAAAATAATTTTAAATACAACAAACTTACAATAAGTATTAAATGGTAAATGATAACCAAATTACAATAACTGATATTAAATGATAATAAATAAAAGTAACTGAAATACATTAAAAAAAGTCCAACAAATTTAACAAAATAAAGTAAGTATTAAATGAGATAAATAAAAAAATACAATTAAAAAGTCCAATAAACTAAATACAAATATAATAAAAAACAAAATCTATCGATGCCTGCGACGCGAATTGTTCCGCATAGCGGTGGCTGTGGTCTTGAGGAGGATTTTTCGTATCACTGGTTGTGACTCCTCGTTGTCATCATCATCACCATTGTCGTCGTTGTGTTGTCGTCGTCGTCATCCTGAGTAGGTACATTAGGTTGATGAGGAGTTGATGACGATGAAGCACCTCCATAGAATAAGGACCTGGAGGTGTATGACTGACTATCCCACCGACCTGCGAAAACTGGAAAACTCATAAAACCCAGACATCGATGAGTGTGAAAATTGTACATGAGGTGTCTGTGTTGCGACCATGGGTGATAGGCTGAACCCGCCAAATATCCAGCATAAGAACCCCAAGTCGAATATGCAAACATAGACCCATAATAGCCTCCATGATGGGTCATCTGTGACAGCGGTGGCGGCGGGGTCATAAAACCATGTGAAGGCAGCGGCGACGACATCTGGTAATAGAAAGGCAGTGACGACATCATATATGGCTGCGGTGGCTACTGTGAAGGTCCTGCTGGTACAGCTGAGGATGAACCGGAAGCACCTGCTCTCCGTCCACGAGTCGGGGGATGATGGTACTGTGTCGGTGAACGTCTTTGTCGACGTCGCGGGAAGGTCTACCCTCGTGCATCCTCGGGAAGCAGAAACAATTTCCCGTTACTGTTGAACCACTCATAATAACCATCATCAACCATCAAGAGGTCAAGTAAAATGGGCTCTCTACGGGGAAGGCTCCGATGTCGATCCTCCCACAACACGACCCACTTATGATGCCTCACCAGCCAATCTGTATTTGTCTTGTCGCGTCTATCTGTGCTATGCAACTCGTCCATATTGTGAGGTGCTTCCGGAATTGGTTGAAAACAACCAAATTGTCGGAGCACGCGATCAGTGGAGTGCCACTCGACGGTCGCATAACAGATCAAGGGGACTATCGCCATCCAAACATCTGATGGTCCCCTTAACTCAGGTGAGATCACCGCCCTCACATCATCAGTAGAATATGACACCCATTCAAACTAAAACAAATATATATAATTTTTATCAAAAGAATAATCTAATTATATAACTATAATCTAAAATTGATTTTTAAACATTAAAATTCATACATGTATGTCAGCCTTCTGATCGATGAGCACCCTAATTTTTTCTAAATCATCAGGTAGCTCCTGATGATGTTTCCTATCAGTAGACCACCTATTCGAGGAAAAAAATTATTATACGTTGTATAAAATGATTAATATACTGAATCAGTTTTACAATTACCTCAATAGTAGTGGAAATACGAATGAGTTCTTGACAACAGGACATAAAAAGGGCAATCGATACCATGCCCAAGACTGCAGCAACAAGAGACATCCGCCGATAGCATTACGCATGTAGTTAGTGGCTCGACACATCTCTCTGTACAGGAAAGCCAAAACTGCCGAGCTCCAACTGAGTGATCCGGCCAGATGAAAGTCACCAAGGTGTCGCAACCACATGCAGTGAACTTGGTTGCGCGATTTGTCCGGAATTAACAACCCTCCTATTAGCTGCAATATGCATGCCCGTGCATACATTTTAACTTCATCCTCAGACGCGTCCTCGCTCAAATCACGAAAATTGGCATCTAACCAATTTAACGGTATTTGACCACTATTAAAATTTTCCGGGACACGTCCTAGATTATCCCGACACAAAGCAGTCCAGGAACCTTGTGCGATCCCCGATATCACATCTCCATCCACCGAAAGCCCCAGATGCATAAAAAAATCCTCAAGTGTAATCGTGCACTCTTCGCACTGAAGATGGAATGTGTAGGTCTCCGACCTCCACCGCTCTACTAAAGCAGAAATCACGTTTGGCTCTATCTTACAGCGACCCTGATATCTACCTATGTAACCGAATCCAACATCTACTAAATATGGCAAGACACAACTAGGTATCACTAACTTAAGATTCCTAATAAAAGGTCTAATACACGGTCCTTCTCCTAAAATTAAATAATTACAAAAAATAATTCTTAATCTAATAATCATGCATTAAATAAATCAACAAATTATTACTAATAATTTAAATTAAATTAAAACGTTAAAATGTTACCGTATCAAGTAAAGTGTCGAGATATATGATTTGTATCCAAGCGAAGTAGACCGTCTGCCATTTTATATCTGCAAAAAAATTAAATAAGTAAAATATTAAATAAATTAAATACTTAAATAAATTAAATACAAAATATTAAAAATATAATAAAATATAATAAAATATACCTTAGAAGAGATTATAAGAGTATTTGAGAGAAGTTGAGAGAAATTGAGAGAATTTGGTGTGATGAAAGTGATTGAGGATGGGGGTATTTATAGGGAGGATTGGGGTGTGAAGCGTCGGGGGTATGGGGGTAATTATGGGTATAGTGCGGGGCAGGGGGCGCGCCTTCCTGACGCGTGTCAGATTCATAGGTAAGGCGCGACCCTACCCCGCGCCTTATGTGTAATTACACGCCTACCCCGCGCTTTACACATGTGTATCCATGTCAGCATAAGGCACGCTTCAGGGGGCGCGCCTTACCCCACGTAGCGCCAAATCAGTATATAGCGCGGTGCAGGGGGCGCGCTTTACTGCTGAGGGTGTTAGATCGAGAAATATAGTCTGACCGGTGTTAGATCAGTAAATATACCGGTCACCGGTGATTTTTCGAGAAAAACGTCGAGTCTTTGTATTTTGTTGTAACCTACAAAAACAAAATAATTTTAAAATATATTAATAATATTAAAAAATAAATAATAAATAATAATAATAATAAAAAAGACATCCACGAAAATTAATATCAACAACTTATATATATATATATATATATAAATAGTTTTTTAGCTCAATATAAAAATTTTACTTTGAAGTTTTGAAATTATTTCAATTTACATATTAATTCACGATAAATATGTTAAATAATTATAAGTTAAAAATTTTAAATTAATAAAAAAGTTATCATGTTATTAATATATTAATAAAATAAAAAAGTTTGCATTTACATGTTGATACTATTTTGGTAACGTGAAAATTAAGAAATCACAATAAAACAAATTATGCCGAGTAAAATAATAGTTATGGATTTTATCTTCTGTCAAACTTTGTGTAAATTGTTAATAAATATACACGCGTTTGTAAATGTTATTATTATTATTATTATTATATCACATTAGATTTCAATTATATTAATTTTACAAATTAAACCACAAACACTAGAAAATTAGATTACATATTTCTATCGTTTCAAATGTTTAGAATAACATTATTAATTTATAATTTTTTCGATTGGATCAAATAGATTGTGAGAGTTATTGACAACTCATCCTTTAATTTAGACGAAAAGTCGCAATCGATAATAGCTCGAATGTTGAAATCTTCTATTTTCATGAAAAGGTAAGCAAAATTGTTAAGATAAGATAATTTCATAAAGACTCGATGCTTATTATCTGTAAAAGAATTAGGGATTCATACTAATAAGATTTGAATTTGATTGTTATGATCATAGTCGAACTTATTATTTGTCTCTTTATTTAAATAATCTGTAGTCTCAGGCGACGTTTTTAAGTACTTTGTAGTGATTTTGCAACACTTGTAGAGTTGTATGATAAAGCTGATACAATATGCGTCAAAAGCTTGGAGGTGAGAGAGGGTGAAAAAAAGGACACAAGAAATACGAAATGGAGTAGCACATGAAGGCCCAGGATTTTGTGAGAAAAAAGCAGAGTACGATAACATCAATGGGTTGATAGACGGACGACTCACAAGTATTTACTTAGAGGCATCGATTCTTTTTGAAAGCTGAGAGGATAAAAAGGTAGTCGCGAGATAAAGGAATAGGAGTGAGTGGTCACAGACGCATCGTATTTGCCATTACTAGTACTATTAACTTTTGGTTTGATCCCCTAATTGCTTTTCTCAAAACAAGCAGACCCGTCTTCGTCTTCGCATCAAAAACTTTAAACAAAGAAATTAGTAGGAGATTTGCATGAGAAAAGGACTTGATGAACAAAGTTGAACAGTCTTTTAAGAAAAAAAGAAACAATCCAAGTGGGGAAACAAACAAAGACCCCCCGCATCAAACTCCATATTCATATAAGGAAAATGCAAAAAACAAAAGCAAAGATCCCCCCCACAGCTCATACTTGTTACCCAAAATATACTTGTTTTTGCACTGCTTAGCAGTAAACAATCACCTCTCTTGAGATAGCCCTTCCTTTCCTCCCCCAAAAACACTGTACTGGTTTCCTTTTCTAGCTCCCCCAGGCTGCTGAAAAAGAGGGGATTTGGTTAAAAATGAAGGCCGAGATTTTTAGTTTGCTCAAAACGGAGCTGTTGACGTTCGCTGAAGCGTGTGCTTTCTGGAAAATTGAGCGGCATCTGCTACGCGTAACTGCATAAGCATAAATGGGGTTTCTTTCATTGGGTTGGTCTTGGTCTGTCGGCTAATGAAATCAAAATTTGCTTATTTTTACCTCTTCTTGCTGTTTCCTGAGTTTTGCATTCTCTTCCATAAGTTGAGCAACTGCAAGCTCTAACTCAGTTGTGTAAGCCTGCAAGAAAAAAAAATAAGGAATTTAAAGGGTGCTGCATATATATATAGTGGAAAATCTTTGAGTGTTTTGAGGTAATGAAAACCTGTTTCCTAGCTCTTGATCGTGCAGCGGACTCTCGGTTCTTGATCATCCGCTTGTGCCGTCGATCACCATTACTGTTATCAGCTTCCTGGACCCTTTTCTTACCAAAGGAGGCCAAGCTAGAAGAAGGAGACAAAGCCTCGAACGGACAATTGAAAGTGTGGACAGTCGAGATGGGGCTGCTTTGCAAACTCGAGCTGGACCTGAGAGGATCCACGTTATCGAGGAAATCAAAGCCTGGACCCGAATTCAGGCTCAAAACAGTGGCGGGAGGTGGCCGAAGAGAACCATACAGCATGGTGTTGGCCGTCCTATTAGTGGGACGAACCTCATTGGTAGGAGGCCTGGCGAGAAAATCCTGGAGGACAATGCGAGGATTGGAGTTAACCAAGAAGGCTTCCCTGGAAGAGTGGTCGTGTAAAGAAGCAAGGTTAATGTCGTTCCACACTTCTTCCATGGTTTTGGGTCGGTGGGAAGAAGAGGCAGCAGAGACTTTGTTTAGGCCTAGTGTTGGTGCTTTGTTGTTGTAGTTGGTTTCATCCCACATTGGTGAGTGAATATGCTATACGACTATTAAAAGGAGGGAGGGAATGAAAGGGTTCTTGTTTGGTAGTGTAGTGGGAAATTAAAGGAATTTTGGATGCCCCTATGGCGATGCTTTTATTATTGTGATCGGTGGTCATTATTCATTCAAGGGGAAAGGTGAGTACATTGGAGCCACGCGCTCCTTTGCCAGAACCGTTCGGTATCAGCTTTGGCCATTTGAAGTTTCTGTTGTCGAGGGACTTATATCACAACACATATTAAAAGTACACGCGAGAAAATGACTTTACATACTGCACAAACTTCTTATATTTGCATTTTTTAAATATAACGAAATTTGGATAAAAAAAATTAGTATAATGTAAAAATTAACCTAATCTTTATTCAAATTTAGAATATTTTAGTTTCAATATTAGATAAAAAGACCCCTATCGGATATAATTATCAGTTAATTAATTATCAACGCATGTTATCAATATAATATTTTATGTGTTTAATTACCAATATATCATCATATTAGATTATATAGCTCTCTAATATTTAGAATATATCACAACAAAACTAATCTTGGGAAGGGCTAAAATAAGTTTTGGTCGACTGATTACTTTTCATCCATATCAAAAGAGGCGAATTACTAAATCGTTAATCATCCACGTTATTTTTCTCCTTTTAAATGTATATTAACCCTTTAAATTAATACCATATCTTTTAGCATGTAGTAGTTTATATCAATACTTAGCTACAATGGCTCTAAAAGGAGGAGAGAGAAACGTACAAGAGTAATTGTTTTTATATTTTATGTAATCTTGTAGTATTTTTTTATTTGTTAGATGATTTTGCCAATTTCTTAATATACCAATAACTACCAAGAAACAAAAGATGGGCAGTAGTGTAGACTTATAGTACTAGTGTTATATATATTGCCGCCATTAAAGAAAACGTTAAGATATGATGTCTCGTCATCATCATCAGTTTCTGAAGAGATTCTCTAACTCTCTGAGCTGTATGCTCCTGTTTTATTCATAGGATAATATGCCCCTTCCACTGACAGTCTCTTCTCTTGGGGATTTAAACCCCTTCCCTTTAACCCTCTTGTATTTTCATTATTTATTTATGGAATACATTTCAACACAAAATCATCAAACTTGAATGAAAAAGGATTGACAATAAAGAAAAGAAAATGTCACATCCCTTCACTATCTGCAAAAGCTTAGAGCCTCGAGGAAAAATGTAATGACTCACTCCCAGTCTACTTTGTGGGTCTATCTTAGGCTTGAAAACCTTTCAAACCAGACTGTTTTTAATGGCCATTTACCAACATTTCTGATGAATTTGACTATAAAAAAACGTATGCTAGTGGGGGAAGTAATTGACCCGAAAAAGATACTGAAAATCAACACCATCTCCTAGTTACATGGATTGAAACAAACACATTGCATGTTCATTAACATAGTTGGTGAAGAGGAGAGCATTAAGTGAAGAGCTGTCAACTGTTGTAATCTCTTTTCACCATCTTTCATCAGTTGTACTGCCTGCAAAAACCAAGTTAAAAAAAAAAAAACTTATCACTCTACACCATACCCAGCAGCAGCATCCCTGCCATGCATTGTCTGCATTCCAACGACAAGCATAAATGAGTTTGAAATTAGGGTTGTCCAAAACCATATTTTGAGATGAAAAACTTGGTTGAGAAGTTTTAATATGAAGTGCAGCAAGTACAACAATGTTAAAGGTAATAGGAAAGATTGAAATCATTGAATCCAGCACATGATTCAAGTACGTAAATGTAGAGATTTGAATGTATGGGGGAGTCTGGATTTGAAAGGGACTGGTCTACTGCTTTCTAAATTTGAGTTCCCAGAGAGAGAGGTTATCAATCATATTCTGAATCTTATTCTGAAGGGTGATTGTCCCAGGTGGAATGAATGATTAACCGTTGGTTGTTCCCATTCAACTACAAATGGCTCATACAACGAGACTGTCAACTTGTGTGGGGGCCTGCAACATTAGTAGACACAAATAACCCGAAAGCAAAGCAAAGGAAAAGAGAGGAACCCACTACTACACGTTTAAACAGTTTTTTTTTTTTCCATATCAATGGGGCTGTTGTTTCATGTGCCTTCAGCCACTTCCAGTTCCTCCACCCTAAGTCCCTAACTGTTCTGTTGTGCATCATCTCTTCTTGTGTTTTTGCCATATCTGCCATCCCCCCCACAAATCGGGTAAATCTTGCCTAAGTAATTCACCTCTTCTTTTCCCAGATTAAAACCATTACACTCGTCCCTAAAGGAACAAATATGATGCTACCACGCCCTAACTTTTACAAAAACCAATTTGTCTGTTTCATAACTTATTTAAACATATGTAGTAATATAGAATGTACCTTTTTTTCATAAAAATAACATAGCATCATTTTTTCCATTGTCCATGGTTAATAATATCACCAAACCTTTGGTGCTAAAAAAGACTTAGATAACTCATAAAGTGACATCAACAATAAAAGAGAATGTTATTATCCTTAAAAGTCTTGAGTCAAGTAGTTGCATCTACAAAATATATATTTTCAATTAATTAAAGAGATTCTAAATAAATATTTCTTTATAATCATCTCATAAATTATCTATAGCTGATCAAGTCCCTACCTCTAATATTTCACTCTCCATGCAGTTTTGCTGTGGGTTAAATAGCAGTTACGGGAGGATAGCCGTACATCATACTCTAGCCACTACACAATCTACCACGTGTGAATTAATGCTTTTTTAAATACATGTCAAAGGACAAATGGTAACATAAGAAAAATCTACCTATAATTAATAATAATAAAACTAATATTATTGCGAGAGCCGGTCAAAGCTCCAAAACATAGAACCATACATGCAACGATGGTTGTTTTCAAAGGTTTGTCCCACAAACGAAGGACAAACTTTATGAAGCAAAAGAGAAAGTAGTAAATATAATAATAATAGTAGCATTAATAAGTACATATATAATAAAAAGTATAATTCTTCGTAAAAATGACATGCTCCTCGAGATGAAAGAGAAAAAGCATTGGTAGGCATGAATAGCAGGAGTAGCTGCTGCTTTTCCAAAAGGTGTTTTCCTTTTCTTCTTGTAAAGGATTTTCTCTAATTTGCTGTACGAGAGACTGTATTTCATCGCATCACAGGCAGATAACCCAATGTTGTCAAAATCATTCTCTACTCTATTCTTCCAAGAACAACTCTTGCATCGGCACATTTTTGCTTAATTTGAATTATTTGCTGGACCAACTTGAACACCCATGGCACTTCCCCTTCTGTTGTATAGCTGTGGCTGGTTAACAAAGTCCACAAATGATGGTCTACCTGATAGCCCACCATCATTAGAATCTTCTTGGCTCCTTGCACTACTCTGGTTTGTATTTCTCTGCTCCAGTTAAATACTCTGAACACGAGCCACCAGCATAACCTGACCAGATATGGTAGGGAGTTGAACAGAGGTGGCATTATCCACCGCATCCAATCGTTCCTCTTCCTTACTTTATCACCCTAAAATGTGAAAGTAAGGTGATCAACATACCTCTCTAGATATATGTTATAACAAAAACATCAATTAAACATCAACAATAAGAGGCATGAATGTCTTGATGGTCAACATGACCAGAATTTCATTATAGATCAAACATATATCCCAGGATTATCAATATAGAACGTACCAGTACTTCAACAACTGTTGAACAAAGCATCGGTTATAAGTTGAATATTATCTGTCAACAGTGCAACCTGAAAATGGGATGCATAAAAAATGTTGGCTTTGCAAAGCAAGCTTTAGAGTATATGCTTTCCAAGAAGCAAAATCATAATACAAGCTTATCCAACAACTAAGCTTCTGAACCATTGTTTTCAACAGCATAAGACGCACTCCAGACACTTGAACCCTAATATTGCCCAAGGCAAAAGGTGCAAAAATGCAGCTTTTTGGGTGAAGTGTGCTATCTAGTATGCACGAAAAATAAGCACAAGATTTATAATTATGATAATAAACTCTAAGGACTGATCTAGTATATCTACAAAACATGCCAAATTATCTTTTAATCATGTTGGTCAATAAGCAAGATCTCTTGAACCCTAATATTGGAACCCTAATATTGCCCAAGGCAAAAGGTGCAAAAATGCAGCTTTTTGGGTGAAGTGTGCTATCTAGTATGCACGAAATAAATAAGCACAAGATTTATAATTATGATAATAAACTCTAAGGACTGATCTAGTATATCTACAAAACATGCCAAATTATCTTTTAATCATGTTGGTCAATAAGCAAGATCTTCTCCTTGTCCCATGTATGTTGTATATTCAAATGTTGAAAAGTTTGCTATTATACCCTTTCTTAATAGCAAGAACATCAATCATGCGGACATTTTTATGGTTATTGCCTTACAAAAAAGTATGCATAGGTGCACCAAATCAAATGTGTCTTGCCTAAGGTGCTTTTGTTATTCGAGAAAAAGGCAGAATGTCAAGAAGTGATGCTCACTCACTACCTGACCTGAAAAGAAACGAGGACATAATCACAAAAGTTTGACTCCCAAAGGATGACGGTAGATCACTACTGTATATGGACTAACGTCTTTAGAAAGAGATGGTAACTATTTAAGCGGGAAAAAACCAGGAAATCCTGTTGGTGCACTGTGTTAAAATACATTTGACTTGTTTCGAGAACACCACATGCCTTTCGGAAAAGGTTAAAATGTTATATAAGCATTCCAATAAAACTTAAGAAGTCATAATATGAAACATTGTAAAGAGTCATTAACATTTATGATAAAAAGCTAAGATTGTACAAAATTAGTTTTGATATCATGCATGCCTATGTTGCACTGATACGGGGACGGGGACGTAAAACGATAATTTTTAAAATTACAGGATATGGAGACGGCAAGGGTACGACATTTAAAATAATTTTAAAATTATAAATATATATAAAAACATCATAAATAAAGTCAAATATCAAGACTCAAACCGCAAT